ACAGAGGAAGGGAATTGTCCACACAGGATGTGATGAGTGTTTACTTAAGGCAGTGGCAGTGACAGAGGAAAGGAAGAGACAAGTTTGAGAGGCAGGCAGACTGAACAGGACTGATGATTGATCCCTGGGAGAGTAAGGTGGAAGGAAGAATCCAAAAGGATGTCTAGGTTTCTGATTAAAAGGTGCAGGCTGATCCTGCTAGCTGAGATGGGGAGGAGGGATGGGATGGGGAAGGTTTGGGAGAAGAGAAAGATGTTCCACCTCTGCCTTGTTGGTACACTGGAACACTTGGATGGAAATTATCACTAAGCAGATGGATGTAAAGGTTTGGGTGGCTCTGTTCATCTGAGGGCTGCCCATGAGTGTACAGATGGTAACTCTGAGTATGTAGGATGAAAAAAGACGAGGGAACACCAAAACCTACCAATATTAAAGAAGTAAAGAAAACGAATCTGCAAAGGCAGGAGGAGCATGAGGAAAGCGCAGTCACTGTTCACTGCCACAAAGATGAAGACATGAAGAGGACCCAGTGGATGTGGCAGTTTGGAGGCCACCCATGAACCTGGTTGTCAGCATGGAGCCTGACACGGGGCTCGAACTCCCAAACCGTGAGATCATGACCAGAGCCGAAATCAAGAGTCAGTCACTTAACCGACTGAGCCACCCAGGCACCCCAAAACTCACTATCGTTTAAAATCATTTCAGTATGGAGAAGCAAGAAAAATCCATATATCAGGGAACCTATCTTAAATTTTCTATGACACCGAACAAAAGCAACATTTGTCTCTAGAAGCTATTCCCTAAATCTCTCCTATCAGAACCTACAGTACATTTAAGGGAACATTATAATTTAAAAAGTTAAGCCTACTATTGACGACGTGGAGGTAAAACAGTCATACTTGAATCTTCCAAAGCAATTCAATATTTGCAGAAACCCGAAGTTTATAATTATTATCATTATAAACACTTCCCTGTGTAAACCATCTATTTACTTTACAGGTCTGAAATACCAATTATCAGGTTTTCTAACATTAGGAAGCATATTATTTGAGATTTAAACAATTTTAATGGCATTTTTATTCAGATAAAAATTTAAAATTTAATGTGAATGAAGATAAAATATGCCATTAAGTCTTAGAGTATAGAATAAAGCAATTCTTTTTAATTAGGAGGACAATGGATTAAAATAAATGGAAAAGAATAAAATAAAATTATTTTAAGCTTAGGTTCCATGTAACTGATATATTTGTGTCCAACTGTGAAAATGAATTCCAGTCAGGATTTTTGGAACATCTGTTTCCTTTACCTCTTAAACACTCTCAGGTTTTTGTCTTTTTGTTTTTAACATTGCCTATTTTGCTTATAATTAATTAAAAATGCTACAGCAAATTCTTTCAAAATGGTACAATAGGGGCGCCTGGGTGGCTCAGTAGGTTGAGCGTCTGACTTCGGCTCAGGTCATGATCTTGCGGGTTTGTGAGTTTGAGCCCTGTGTCGAGCTCTGTGCTGACAGCTCAGAGCCTGGAGCCTGCTTCGGATTCTGTGTCTCCCTCTCTCTCTGCCCCTCCCCCGCTTATGCTCTGTCTCTGTCTCTCAAAAATGAATAAATATTAAAAAAAAAATTTTGTTTTAAAAAGGTACAATATAGAGAAATAAATCTTGGACTACATTTTAAACAGTATTAATTTCCTCTTATTTACATGATGACATTCAAATGGTATCTGGAATATGACTGTTACCTCCTTGTATGTCATAGACCATTCCACAGGTATTACAGAAAACACTTTAATACAAGAAGTCTTGCACCCTCACAGTAAAGAAAAGTTGTAGAGATAATGGCACATAACATGCTAGTTCCATATTCAGATCTAAACTATCACCTCATTTACAGCATTTGACAGATGTGTTTAGAATGGACCTGATCTTAATCAATAAAGTAATTCAATATTCATTTGTCACATGGATCACTTTACCGACACAGCAAGCTGTTTCTTATATATTGGAAAATAAACCTTACTTTAAAACTAAAGTCTCATTCTTTTCTGGGAGGTTAAGTGGGTATGATACTTACTTACTTACTTACTTATTTAAAATATAACTTATTGTCAAATTGGTTTCCATACAACATCCAGTGCTCAACCCAAAAAGTGTCCTCCTCAGTGCCCATCACCCATTTTCCCCTCTCCCACACCCCCAACAAATTTATGTTTTTAGAGTGAGGGACAAATGTAATCCTCTACATAATTTGTCTCATCGTTAGCTGATAACTACAGAAAAATTTACAAAGATCAGTCAATAATGTGACATCCTTCACATTTACAAACTAGTCACTCCATTCACATTCTAAGTACTCTTCTATAGGCCTAAGGGTATGCAAAAAAAAAAAAAAAAAACCAGTAAAATGAAACATAAACTGAGACCTATGTGATTTTGTCCTTCATAATTAGAGAAATGATCTCTTTCAAAATGGACAAGATATTTTATTGTCACAAAATAACTGTTGAGCAGTGCCAGAAAATTAGGTACTTTTTTTTTTTACCTTTAAATTTCATATTTTTAATTTACATCCAAATTAGTTAGCATATAGTGCAATGATTTCAGGAGTAGATTCCCTAATGCCCCCTTTATCCACTTACCCATCTCCCCTCCCACAACCCCTCCAGTAACCCTCTGTTTGTTCTCCATATTTAAGAGTCTCATGTTTTGTCCCCCTCCCTGTTTTTATATTATTTTTGCTTCCCTTCCCTTGTGTTCATCTGTTCTGTGCCTTAAAGTCCTCATGTGAGTGAAGTCATATGATATTCGTCTTTCTCTGATTGACTAATTTTGCTTAGCATAATACCCTCTAGTTCTATCCACCTTGTTGCAAATGGCAAGATTTCATTCTTTTTGATTGCTGAGTAATACTCCATTGTATATATATATCACATCTTCTTTATTCATTCATCCATCGATGGACATTTGGGTGCTTTCCATACTTTGCCTATTGTTGATAGTGTTGCTATAAACATGGAGGTACATGTGTCCCTTTGAAACAGCACATCTGTATCCCTGGGATAAGTACCTAGTAGTGCAGTTGCTGGGTCATAGGCTAGTTCTATTTTTAATTTTTTGAGGAACCTCCATACTGTTTTCCAGAGTGGCTGCACCATCTTGCATTTCCACCAATAATGCAAAGGAGATTGAAACAATGTTACAATGTAACAATGCACCAATGTTAATGTGAGCCATTCTGACAGGTGTGAGGTGGTATCTCATTGTGGCTTTGATTTATTTCCCTGATGATGAGTGATATTGAGCATTTTTTCATGTGTCCATTGGCCATCTGGATGCCTTCTTTTTTTTTTTTTTAAATTTTTTTTTCAACGTTTTTATTTATTTTTGGGACAGAGAGAGACAGAGCATGAACGGGGGAGGGGCAGAGAGAGAGGGAGACACAGAATTGGAAACAGGCTCCAGGCTCCGAGCCATTAGCCCAGAGCCTGATGCGGGGCTCGAACTCACGGACCGCGAGATCGTGACCTGGCTGAAGTCGGACGCTTAACCGACTGCTCCACCCAGGCACCCCTAGATGACTTCTTTAGAGAAGTGTCTATTCATGTCTTTTGCCCATTTCTTCACTGGATTATTTATTTTTTGGGTGTTGAGTTTGATAA